CTACATAAAATTCAACAATTACTATTAAATTTCAAGTGCTACCAAGAATTACCTTAAGTGGTTACTTTCTTAAGCTTTTATGGTATAGTCAACTTGTCTAGAACAGAATGATTCTATTTATAAATGAATTTTAAAATATCACCGAAATATACTGAATAAAGTTACTCTCCAGATTATACGTTTGACAGGAAATGTTCAGTCTACAAGAGATTTCCTATTACTGATTTAATAGTAGTACAAATTGCCCTTGGGACTTGGCCCCCACAGTTATATCTAGTTCTCTGTGTTTCTCTTGATAGCTTTGTCTTTGATAGCTAATCCACAGTTCTATCTTGAGTAAATTTTTTTTTACATCCAGAATAAGGAGGTATAACATAGTCTTGCAAGCAACCATTAATGAGTAATGTGACAAGTAATATATACTTGTGAGTTCAAAGTAAGGCCCTTCAAAATTTTAATTAATCCATTCATGTCTTTCATCAGTTATGTGTAGTTTAGTATATTCTACTTCTTATAAAATATGGCCTAATTTAAATATATTCTGAAATCAAACAGGATTGCATATTAAATCTTAAATTTGGTTAATGTTGCCATTCCATCCTTTGAATTATCAATGTGAACTAAATAGGCTAGAGATAGGAAACACAGGGAAAACTGGAGAGATTTATATTTATTTTCATTTTCAATATAAACTTATATAACCTAAATAAATAAGTCATAAGTGCTTTTTTAAGCCATTTTTTTCCTTTTTTTGGAGATAGGGGCTCAAGGCTGACCTTGAACTTAACTAGGTAGCTCAGGCTGGCTTCCAAATCGTACAATCCTCCTGCTTCAATCTCCCTTAGTGCTGAAATCACAGGCATGCACCACCACATCTGGCTTCAAAAGCCATTTCTTGACTAATGTAAAGTTTATTTCACAAAACAGAATTAATCTATACCATGTACTTCTGAAAATTATAGGATTATTTTTAGACCCGTTATAAAAATATCATTTCTTGTTTCAACTCTACCTCAATAGTCATAATTTCCTTTTTTTTTTAATTGGTGGATGTATCTGTGCATGTTTGTACCTTCTGCTTCTAAAAGGCCTATTTTCTAGTGGAAATGAGAGCATGGCACAAATTCTCCGTGGAATTGTTTTATTGATCAGAACATCACGCTAATGAACAAAGCTAAGCTCATAGATTTCTATACTCAGCTGGATCATTTAACTTTTTTTTTTTTTTGGGTACCAGGGAATTGAAATCAGGTCCTTGTGCTTGTGGGGCAGGAAGCAGAACCACTGAGCTAAATCCCCGGCCCTGGATCATTTAACTTTTAAATAAACTATCATTTTAACCAGCCACCTCAAAACTGTATGAAAGGAACTATGTGTGAATCGCTTAATGCACACCCACCATCACTATTACAAAAAAAAATTTAATGTAAATGAACTTATATTATGTGGGTATGAAGTGGTGAAAAACACCTAAACTACCATTTGTAATCCCCAAATGTGCGCGCGCGCACACACACACACAAATGGATGCTTCATCTGTCTCAATACCATATGAAAACTTAAGTTTTTTAACACTAATATTTTCCATAAGATGTGATTTGGCATTAAGTTGTATAGCAATTATATGACATCAGAAAATATCTGGAAATATGCCATTACTTTTTCACAGCTGATTTAAAATGAACATTAGGAAGCAGTAAATTTATGCTCACTATTTTAAATGTATCACAATATTAAATCCATTTTATATGAGTTATTTTTATTGAACATCTAACATAAGAGAATTTTAAAACCAAGAACTCTAGCTGTTATCTCAAGTTCAATGAGTATTTACTGAGTGTTGATCATACACAGTGCTGGGTATTTTCAGGTAACTCAATTAGTTCAACTTACTTCCTTTATAAATATCGAAGTTCTGTGCTCATGCCAAATTAAGATATCTAGATCAGAACTAAAAATATAAGCAAAGCCTTCATAATATTATTTTCTATCAAAATGGATACATATCATTCTTTTTCATAAAGAAAATATCAGCCTGGTGGTGGTACACATCTGAAATCCTAGGACTTGGCATGAAGAATGATGATCACAGAGTTTGAGACCCACCTGGACTATACAATGAGTATACAGCCTACACTACATAGTGAGGCCCTGCATCAAAATATAAACAAATAAATAAATAAGTGAATAAATAAATAAATCAAAGATGCAATGCTGAACTTATTTAACAAAAAGTTTAGTAACTATAAAGAATTACAATAATTCAAAAATTTAACTGAGTCTCAACTACTAGTTGTATAAATTATCCCAAAGAACAAAAACGCGAGGTTGTCAAAACTTTAAAAATCTAGAAACATCATACAGCACAAATTACAGAGATCATTTAAAATTCTTTGTAAGAAAAGTAATAACTATACAGATACCTGGATGCCTAACTGCAATGTCTATTTTATGTAAGAAATAATAATACACTAACAAAGTTCATGAACAACAGAAAACATTGGCAAGATCTACAGTTAGAATACAAATTATAACTGAATATAAACCCTCCCTAAAGGTAGAGACCCTATCTAATTCATCTCTATATCCTCAACAGTTAGTGGTTAAATGTTGAAGACAGAGGTGAGCTAAAATCAACCCAATAATCTAAAATATCTCATTATATGACTGAAACTATTTTTGAAGTGTTAATAGTACCCAATGAAAATGAAATTTGACATGAAACTTAGGCTTAGCAATTGTGGCTGTCAAAATAAGTATAACATATGCTTTGAAGGCAATTCAAAAATATACCAGACAAGTGTATTCATATATTTTGATACCACTGGAAAGGAATCTCAAGGAAATATTCCAAAAGAAAACCTATGTTGCCTATGTAAATATTAATTTCATCACTATTTTAATGGAGAAAGGGAGGGAAAGTAACCTACATGCTCAACAACAGGAAAATGGAGTACTTTGCAATAAGTGAAAAAGTTTTAAAAATGTAGATTTACATCCTGAATGGTCTTCCCAATTCTACTCGTCTCCTCCCACCTAAGTTGACTTCCATACAGCAGTCAGTCTACAAACTTAAGTCAGAATCAATCTCTTTTCTACTCAAAACCCTCCAATGGCTGCACATTTCATTCAAAGTAAAATTACTGTGGCCTATGACATCTTAAAGCAATTCCAGCGATTTCTCTATCTCAAGCCTTCTCACTTTCTGTTTACTGTCCACCAACCACAATGAATTCACTGACTTTTTTTTTTTTTTTACCAGGCATTGAACTCAGGACCTAGCACTTTCAAGGCAGGCAGCAGCACCACTAAGCTCAATCCCAGGCCCTCACAATGACATCTTTACTCACAGATGGCCTAATAACCCTTTTTCCCAAGAGAACACACATTCCTCACTCCTTTCAGATCTCTGCTCCAGTGTCAGGTCTTCCCGCCAACGTTTTCTCTAGCCTCTCACGCCACCCACTTCACTCTTTTGTACTACTCTTATCACCTCACATACTCTATATTTATTTGGTCATGGCATGTCCTTTCTGATTAGAATATAAGCTTTATGACAAGAATATCATTTTATCCAAATGGCAAACATTCACTAAGCACTTGCTGAATTAATACTGGATGCGGACACGACTATTAACTACATGTAAAACCATTTGCGTGGAACAAATGTGAAAAAGAATAGGAAAACAAAGGAGTATTTTCGAATGCTTACCATATTATTAAAAAGTAGTTTGTACAAATGTCATAAAGTAGTCAGGATTATGATTTTAATTTGTCAAAGTAGAACAATCTTATTTCCTTCTAGATGCCATGGATGTATTGATTTAAAATTGTTAATAGTTATTAATGAGAACTTCTCCATAAAATTGTAATAACAATCTCTTAAATCTCGAAGTTTACTCTGTAAGAATAGATATTTTCACTCCTGAAGCCTCACAAAAAGTGAACAAATGATTCTGAACAGTTATCATATGAAACTGAATATTATCGGGGATTCTAGTTAACTTTGTTTTTTTTTGTTTTGTTTTGGGTTTTTTTTGAGACAGAGACTCAGTATGTAGTTCAGGCTGGCTGTAAACTTAGTGATCCTCCTGCCTTGGCCTCCCAAATGCTGGGATTACAGGTGTGTGAGACCATACGTGGACCACCATGCTCAACCCAGTACACTTTTAGGTCACTATCTAAGGTTGGCTTCAGTTGATCCCTGAAAACTGAAGGCAAAATTTTGCACATAAATGACTGTTACTTTTTTCTGAGAACAGGGTCCACGTATTTCATCATAGTGTCAATGATAACAGCCTAGAAAAGGTTAAGAACTTTCATTTTATATAGTGGAAATGAAATAAAGTATTTTTACATAATGTACCTTTCAAAAGGACAGAAGATATATACATAACACCTAGACACATCTTCGTAATCACTAAATTCATTCAACAAATACTGAACATGTATAATCCTTAACACTTTACACCTAATATCTGAAGTAGAATTCAAATTGACAAGAAAGTAAGATTCACCGAAACATCACTGTAAAAAAGAATATCACCAGACGTAGTGGCACACGCCTGCAATGCTAGCATTAGCGGGGACTGAGACAGGACTGCTGTGAGATTGAGTTCAAAGCCAGTCTGAATTACTGAGAGAGACCTTGCTCAAAAAAAGAAAAAAAAATGAATATCAAACTATAATTTTAAAATAGATGTTATAGGAAAGTAAAGAAAAAGGAGCCTTCGGCTCAATCTAGTGCTGATTATGTCAAAATACTGCAGACATCAATTACACCAAAAGAAAAGAAAATTGCACATAGCACGCCCACCCCCATACATTCTGACCGGAAGCCCAAAGAAAGTTTCCAAATCCTGTTATCTAACAGCATTTCTTGTGAGCCTGCCCTGCAGCACGCTTTTAAAGGTCGACTCCCCGGTTAAATCCAACAGCTAACACTTTACTCTTGCTACAAAAAAGCACAGAAAACTCAAGAAACCGAAAACAGTGGCTACCTGTAAGTCTTCGGCCATTAATGACCACTGCTGTTACTCCTCCCTTCAAAGCAGCGAAGAAAGGATTTTACCTCCCCCAAAGAAATACGGTACATTACTCCTCACTGCTAGTTCTTTTTCCAGGAGGTCAAAGGTCCCCTAAACTCTGCTTTTCAGCCCTGTGAGCTCTCACTTTTTAGGCACAATCGTTTTCCCCTCCTTCTCCCTACAGAAGTAAATTACACAATCCCTTAACTTCCCGAGAAGCAAGCGGCAATACTACCAACTCCACACTCCACAAACGCTAGGTTGAAGGAAGCAATCGCACCGTGACCTCTTTCCCGACAAAATGTGAAGCAGAAGCAGAGATCCGAGAAAAAAAGTCACAATAAAAAGGCACACGCATGGCACGCACAGAAGACACGGAGGAAAGAGGGCGGGAAAGGGGCAGGGAAAAGGAGTGGGATGTAGAGATGTCAGCCCTATCCACTGGGGGAATAAAGGGAGGGAAGGGGGTCCCTGCACCCTGACAGAAGCGCACAACGAGAGCAACACCCCAGTCCATTCGAACCTCTTCGCCCGGGGCAGGACCGAAAATTCACCCCACGCCTCAGGCCCCTCCTGCGCCCCTCAAAGGGCGAGCTGGGTCTGCGGGAAGCTGCGACCGACCCTAGTCTGGGGACAACCAGGGGAAAAGGCAGCGATGTCCAATCTTCCACATTTCCCAGGCAGCGAGGGGAGAGGGCACTTCGTCCGAGGAGCTGGCGAGGGAAACGAGCTTGGGCCGTGACACCTCCAAGAGTTGGAGGGTGGGGGACACAATGTCCTCTTTCTCTCCCACAGCCGGCCCGGCCCCTCCCGGCCGTCTCCCGCAGGCCCAGCCACAGGCGACCGGCTTG